TCTTTATTAAAAAAAAAAAAAAAAAAAGACGCGTCGTTTCCACGACGCTTTAATTTATTTTTGGCCTCCAATTATTTGATTATGAAAATTTTGCTTTTTAAATAATTTAATTTTTTTTAGAATTTAGCTATATATATTAAAAATTAAAATCACATATTTTTATGTTATTTTGAAACATAAATATAGAAAATTTAGAATTAAATATTATTAAACTTAATTTAATAAATATATTATTATTAATTTATAAACAGAACATAATTTTGTGAAAATAATGTAATTGGGCGTAATGCAAAGTTCCATTATGGAATATTCCACGTGTGATTCTTTGATACTTTATCACAATGATCATACTATTATTATTTAAATAAGAGTACTTTTGTTAGACGAACATGACTCTCCACAATGGTATAATATTATCCACTTTGAGCATGAGCTCTCATGACTTTGCTTTAGGCTTCCCCAAAAAGCCTCGTAGCAATGTAGAGAGTATTCTTTTATTATCAACTCACGATCATCCTCTAAATTAGCCGATGTGGGACTTTCATCATTCAACCGAGAAAACATTCTCCAAAATATTTATATTGTTCTATAATGGACTATTTATATATTTTCAAGGATTTTTTTTAATAAAAAAAACAAACTATTCAAATGTAAGATACTAATTAACAAATTAATAAAAAAGTAGACAACCTAGGACTAACAACTTGACTAAATTAAATCACTAAATATGAAATAAATTGATGTTCTTTTATTTGCCACGTCATTATCTCACTAGTTAAAATAATATTGCAATATGTCCCTATAAAACCAGAATATTTTATTATATAAAAATATGGCTGCTTTACCCTTTATAACTATTTGGTATCTTTCTTTCTCATCTCTTTTTGAGGAAAAATGGATTATCCTGCCAGCAGTTATTCTCGAGCCACCGTTTCTTTATCGAATTCAGTTTAGACTCGAGGTGTAGTACCTAGTTAAAACAAATCGAGTCTTTGTCACAATACAAATGAAATTAAAAGTGTCTATGCATTTTCGAAGCTTAGCCCTAAAAAAGAAACAGAAGGTACAGCTAGTCCGAACCATCACACCGTAAAAATATGATGAATTTTATCAATATTTATATGTTCCTTCTAAAAAATTATACTAAATTCATCGAGTTGTTGTTCTAGAAAATTAAAATGGTCGTAAATTTTCAATATTTTATGAATAAATTTTTCTAGACGTTGTAAAGGTTGAACGAATGTGGTTGGGCTTAAATGAAGTCTAGGCCCAGCCCATTAAAGAGGTCTAGCCCCCGCTTCTATAAAAATAAGAAAGTTATTTCTTTTAAGGTTAAAATTAGTTTATTATTATTATTTTTATATATTCTTTTTAATATTATCAGTTTTTTTTTTTTAATCAATGTTAATATTTCTTTGTAACACATTAAGATGACTTACAATAGTAATTTGAACCTTTAATCAAATATTTTTTTTATTCTCTCAATTATGACGAATTTTCTATTCTTATTTCCTTTTAATTATTTCATATATATATATATATATATATATATATATATATATGTATGTATGTATGTATGTATGTATGTATATATGTACGTATATATATATATATGTATGTATGTATTTGTCGGTTTCCATTTCCGAACAAAGCTGGATGAAGGATAAGTATATATATATGCTCAATCATTAAATCGAACATTCTTTTCATTTAGGTAAATGGTGGGTGAGGTGGATCGTCTCCATTCGTGAAAGTCATTCACTCGATGAGAAGTAGTTGAATCGAAGTCGGTTGCTCTTTGTTCTCCAAGCGTTATCGATCCACGGCGACGAATTTCTAGGTAAATTTCGTTCAATTTCAGAATCTTATCATTTTCTGCTCCTTTTTCCCTCTATTTGATCTCCTCGAATTTCTCTGCAGCGCCCAGTTATTGTTTACCTAATTTTGACGGACCTTGTACAACGATCGCCTACGTTCTGTTCGTTCGTTCGTTCCGATGGCAGTTGCATCCGAAGCGACCACAAGCTTATGCAGTCACTGGTATTGTAATTCTGGATGGATCGATAACTTCTATGTTTACGGCAAAAAATTACTTGAAGATCTTTTGCGATTTCAATTTCTCTTGATTCTGGTGTTGATTTTTTGAATTGTGTCAATCGTGATTGTCTTTTGCGATTGTTTTGGATTTCGGTTTCTTTCTATTCATATGGTCAGAGATTCTTATCCAGTTTAGTCACGAATCTGCTGGAGAGTGGATCGTTGGTTTGTTAATTTAGAAAAGAAATATTAGGTCAGAAAGTGATTGCGCTGATATTTGATCTTCTTCGTGATGATTTTTGTCACCTGATTCCGTTTCTAGAAGTTGTTCTTCTATAGTGACGATATGAACGATGATTGATTTGTCTTCTCCATTCAGCGGCCGAGACATTCCGTCGACAAATATCGATCTGCATTCTGTTCATTGCGAGCGGAACCTAGAGAAATGTAAAATATGCGGCGATATGGTTCCTAAAAGACATGCGGAGGAACATTTCCTGAACACCCATGCTTCTGTATGATGACTTTTCCTTCAAACTTAGTTGATACCCGAAATGCATGAATGATGATACTTTAAGGCTATTCTATGTTTTACTCTTCCGCTTTCTCTCTTAATTAGGTTTTTGTTCCAATTTGTTGCATTGTTTATACAGCTTCGATTATAACATTAAGCTTGAGGGTTATGATTCTGTCTAGTTTAGGTTGTGGCTCTGCGGTCTTTGGATAAGGATTAGTGGTATTTCTTTGAATTATTGGAATTTCAAGTGTTTATGGCCTTGTATTTCGACAGGTTTCCTGTTCGCTGTGTAGCGAGACCATGGAACGGGACGTTTTAGCCATTCATAAAGGTGAAAATTGCCCTCAAAGGATTGTTACTTGCGAGTTTTGTGAGTTCCCATTGCCAGCAATAGATTTGGCTGAGCATCAGGTACGTTGAACGATTGTTATTTTCAAGTTAAACGAGAACTTCAAAGAGGTCTCGATGTAATAACTACCTTTGTTGGTTCAAACGTATAGGAGGTTTGTGGTAACAGGACCGAGCTTTGTCATCTGTGTCGCCGATATGTAAGACTGCGAGAAAGATATAGTCATGAGAATAATTGCGAGAATGTTGCAGCAGCAGATAATATAGCAGAGTCTTCCAGGTATATAGAATCAATTAACGTTTGATCAATTGATTGTTTAACTTGTATTAGTGTTTATTTGTTGCTTCTGCAAATACTTTTATACTAATTTTTTTGCTTGAACCCTTCAGTTTTGGCCTATCTTCTCTTATAAAGGAAAGATGAAACTTGTTCATTGCTATAGCGGAGTTCGACGGGTCGAATTTTTTTATAAAACAAACGCATAGATCTTACTATAGACATCTATTAGTTTTGTTTTTCTAAACTAAATCTCTAATGCTTCGGGTAATAACAGTTTTGTTATCTGTTGAAGTTATTGTCTAGATGATGTCTTATTGTTCTATCAACTTTTGGAAGCTACGAAGTTCCAAGTTCTATACTTGAAACTTGCATTGTATTCGGAAACATCCCCTTGAACTACTTTTGTAAACTTAAAACTGTTAGGAATCACGAACCTCTACAATGGTATGATAATGTCCGCTCCATTAGCTATCATGGCTTTGCTTTTGGTTTTCCCAAAAAGACTCGTACCAATAGAGATAGTGTTCCTTACTTATAAACCCATGATCTTCCTCTTAATTAGTCAACGTGGGATTATCCATCTCAATAATCCTCAACAAAAACTTCATTAGTAAATGGAAGCGTCTTATCTCGTGGTACTGCACGTACCAATGCCGTGTAATTTGCATATACTCCTCTCTTCCTTCTTCTCTATGGAGTTGGCTCCATCTAATGGAATAAGGTAGAGCATTATTCCACGGTTAGAAATTTGTTGTATGTGAGAAATTTATTGCATTGTTCCATAGTTTGGTCTTTAGTGGTCGATAACAGTCACGTGAATAATAAAGGATTTAAAGAGAACGAGTTCATAGTTGTCATCTGAGTTATCTTGGCAATCAAATGTAGTAAGGCCAAACGGTTGTTTTGTGAGAATAGTCTAGGTTTGTGCAAGTGAGCCTAGACACTCACAGGTATATAAAAAAAGTATGTGGAATAGACCGGTACGACTTGCTACTTAAACCCTCAATTCTTCGTTCACTTTCGTAACTTTTCTCCGTTCCTTTCTTCTTTTTGGAGGGCGGGAATGTGAATCGTTTAAATTCCTCTATTTCATTTATCATGTGATCACTTCAGCGGTTTGATGAGCATTGGAGCAGTGTATTTAGACTTTTAGCTTGACATTTTCTCTATGTTTCATTGAATGATGAATTCCATTTACATTTAGGCATCACTATTTGTTTTAGTAGGATCGAATGCGAAACACGTGATCTATGTTCATGGTTCTCGTATTCGAAATTCCGAACGTTCAATTTGTTATCTTCTTTCTAACAACATGTCAACTGTGTCTGAAGGGATGTGGGGTCAGCACCACCAGAAAGAGAAGAAGCTAGAGGTCGAGGCGCTCGAAGAAGACAGCCGCAGGAGTTTTCTACCCGACGCCTTATATTCACTATTGCAATAACAGGTATTGCCGTTCTATTAGGATCCTTATTTTTCCAGAAAAAGGGCGAGAACAATGTGGTACACTGATTGCCGGTGAGGTGAGTTGGTTACCACAGATCCTCCTAGTCCCACAGAGTGGAGAATATTCCATGTAGAAAAAGAAAAAGAAACCCTTCCATTTTTCTGTACCAAGAATATTAGACAACTACTGTAAACTCGTAACATTTGGGCGGAGATTTCGATCCGACGGCTCTACTCCTTTGTTCTTAAGGCTATGTATGATGAGTTTGAATCTCTTCTCAGAATAATATTAATGCAACATTTATATTTTATTTTTAGGGTCAAATTATTAAATGTGGCTATTTTTGGGTTTAGAATATATTTTTCAGTCTCTTATTGGGTAAAATTACGAGAAAGTCCCTGTCACATTCCATCAATCCCCACCTGTCTTCTCAGTTGTTATTCTTTGTATAACCATCATCTATCTTTTGAAAATTTGTTTTCAAAATAATAGTATCGATGCCACAATTTTTATATTAAAATGGAATAATTCTTCGTATGAGACTCATTGAGAAATGATAAGTTGAATTGCACGAAGATGGGAGCTTAGTAGGCAACACCGGAAGGAAACGAAATGCCTGAGAACGTAATTTCATAGCACATGAAAAAGCGAAGCTCGAGACAAAAGATCTCATCCCCACTGCGCTCACGGCCCGACTTACTGACCTCACGGCCCGACTAGCCTGTCAGTAGTGGAAATTCAAATATATATATATATATAAAGTATGGAACGGACAAATTAAATAACATTAACACATGATTATTTTTTGGTTTCATATTTTTACCTATATTTTCAAATTTTAAAGTTAAAAAAAAAAGTATTTTTTAGAAAGTAATTTTAAAGCTTTGTTCTTAATTTTGCAATGTGAGTAAGTATTTAGAAAATTAGAAACAAAATAAGCACAATTTTCATTAACGAACACAATTTCAAAATTCTATAATCCATTATATTGCTACTTAGAGTATGAATATGAACATCACCCTTATTTGGTGGCATTATTCGAACTTGAAAAACTAGTAAATTGAAGCGTTGCATTGGCATTCCAGACCCCATGATTCATATATATGTATCAGATCCACCCCGCCAACCAATCGCGCCACTTCCGTACTTGTCCAAATTCTAATCTTCGGCGTCGAGCAATGTAATTCTCAATCCTAAAGAGAATAGGAAAAGTCATTGTACAGTATCGATCATCGGAATCCATTTGATACCTAAAATCGCCGCAATCCGTTTTATTCTCAGTCGATCGTTGTTCACGATAGATCAGTATGCGCTATCAGTCTCCGTCATCACAAGAAACACTTCTTCTTTTCCGTTGTTTGAATTTAGATTCTGGTTTTTGATCTTCTAGTTCTGTTCGTTCTTCCGATTCTTGTTTCTCAAGAAATTTCAGAATCGAAGGTCTCACAATGTCTTCCCGGGGAGTGCGATTGCAGATACGAGATCATCATGTAAGTTTATTTTTCCATTTTGTTCGGATTCTGTGAGGATATTATTCCAAACTGTAAATAATCGAAAACTTCTGAGAAGAAAGTTGTAATTTCCTTCCAGAACTTTCCAGAGTATTCCCTGTTTATTCATGTTATGTGCAGGTGGTAGTAGATAATGGAATACTGCAACTAACTCTCTCAAAACCAGACGGAATTATCACTGGTATACGTTATAATGGTGTTGACAATCTGCTTGAAGTTCTCAACCCTGAATCTAACAGAGGGTAGGTATACGCTGTTGTAATTAACAGCTGAAATTAATTTAATTAATAACCAGTTTAAGAAGATAATCTGCTTGCTTTTGTTAAAAACGTTTAGGTATTGGGATATTGTTTGGAATTCTCCAGGAAGCCAGGGGATATTTGACGTGTATGGCTTTTTTCTTCTTCATAATTTTCTCAATTTTTAGCATTTGAACGGTTTTGTTATTACTTTATGTGTTCATCTATATTGAGAACTGGTTTGCATATAGGATTAAGGGATCAAGTTTTAGGGTTATAGTGGAAAATGAGGAACAGGTTGAGCTTTCTTTTACAAGGATGTGGGATCCGTCCCTCGAGGGCAAGGTTGTTCCTCTGAATATCGACAAGAGGTTCGTCCTCGATTTTTATGTTTCGTTGTGCTCGAACTTTTGATTGATTACTAAATTGAGTATTGCTGTTTTGTCTTCTAGGTTCATAGTTCTACGTGGTTCCTCTGGATTCTACTCTTATGCTATTTATGAACACTTGAAGGATTGGCCTGATTTTGATATTGGTGAAACTAGGATCACTTTTAAACTCAGAAAAGATAAGTGAGTAGACTCTATCCTTTTACAAGTCATGTATGGCTTCATCGAGAGACTCGCATCACGGTGCATTGTTTATTAGTTGGTGTTTAATTACAGTGATTGTGAGATCCCACATCGGTTGGAGAGGGGAACGAAACATTCTTTATAAAGATGTGGAAACCTCTCCCTAGTAGATGCGTTTTAAAAACCTTGTGAGGAGACGTGAAAGGGAAAGCCCAAAGAGGACAATATTTGCTAGCGGTTGGCTTGGGCCATTACAAATGGCATCAGAGCCAGACACTGGACGATGTGCCAATGAGGAGGCTGAGCCTTGAAGGGGGTGGACATGAGGCGGTGTGCCAGCAAAGATGTTGGGCCCCGAAGGGGGTGAAAATGGGTGGATTGTGAGATCTCACACCGATTGGGGAGGAGAACGAAGCATTCCTTTTAAGGGTGTGAAAACCTCTCCCGAGCTGACGCGTTTTAAAAACCTTAAGGGGAAAGTCTAAGGAGGACAATATCCTAGCAATGGGCATGGGCTGTTACAGTGATACTTCTTTCTTTCGTGATCGCTTTTGAAATAGGCAGTAATTAGGGGATATTTGAAGGAAGATACGGTATAGACTCTAGCTTGGACTTGTTTATCCAGTCCCTTAATCGTCCCCTAGTCGGGTTATTTTCTTTCATGTCAACTTATTATATTCATTAGACCAAGGATTGAATTGATAGGTTTCAGTACATGGCTGTAGCTGACAACAGGCAGAGATTGATGCCCCTGCCCGATGATCGTTTATCTGGAAGATGCCAGACTTTGGGCTTCCCTGAAGCTGTCTTGCTTACCAATCCCAAGAACCCTGAACACAGGGATGAGGTACCCTAAGAACACTGTTCTCTCTTTTAGGAGTGGTTTGTTTGATTGATCCTTACCTATTGGGATGACTCAGGATGTTTTGATAGGATCTACCTTGCTTTGATATGATCCATTTTTGTTTAGGTGGATGACAAATACCAATACTCATGTCAAAATAAAGACTTAAAGGTCCATGGATGGATAAGCACCAACCCGCCCATCGGGTTCTGGCAAATTACACCGAGCGATGAATTTCGATCAGGCGGGCCACATAAGCAGAGTTTAACATCCCATGTGGGACCTACAACTCTTGCTGTAGGTGATCTAACACCACTAATTATGGAGATTTTGTGTGACAATTAGGATTTCTGGCATTTTCTTCCTTCAATTTCAACTTCCCTTTTCAGATATTTCTTAGTACTCATTATGCTGGACAAGATTTGGTGCCAAAATTTAGAAATGGCGAGCCATGGAAGAAAGTTTTTGGGCCTGTTTTTCTTTATCTTAACTCCACTAAAGCTGGAGATGATCCATTTTGGTTATGGGAGGATGCTAAAATACAGGTATGTTGCATTAAGACACTCACCTTTTGTGTTTGTATGGATGACACTTTTATGAGATATACTAATAATCATATGATATTACCAGATGATGGCAGAAGTCCAAAGTTGGCCATACAGTTTCCCCGCCTCCGACGATTTCCCGAAACTGGATCAACGGGGTACCATTAGCGGTAGGCTTCTGGTTTTCGACAGGTAGGCATTTAGTATTCGCAAATTCCCCATTAGAAATATTTCAATGTTGTCCTAGCGTCGATTTGTTTAATTTTCTGGTTTAGATTATGTGCTCGAACCTTTGTTATTAAAATTTGTAGGTATATGAGCCGAGACTATCTTCCAGCCGGTGGAGCGTTCGTCGGATTGTCTGCACCAGGAGAAGTAGGGTCATGGCAGAGAGAATGCAAGGTGTTTGTTTAACTTAAATTCAAAACAGCGAAGCTATCAATTCTAAGGAGATGATGAACATGTACGCTCTTAAAAGAATTTATTCTTATTTTCAGGGATATCAATTCTGGACTAGAGCGGATGATCGTGGCTATTTTATCATCAATCACGTTCACATTGGCCAATATAATCTATATGCATGGGTCCCTGGCTTCATTGGTGATTACCGTTGCGATGCCTTAATCAACATAAGCCAAGGTATTGTTCCCTGTATCTGTGTATTGCCTCAAGCTTTTCAATTTCTGTGTACACAATTATGGTATTCCATGTTTAAATATAGGATCTAGCATTGAACTTGGCGATCTTGTTTACGAACCTCCAAGAGATGGACCGACACTATGGGAGATAGGCATTCCCGATCGCTCCGCGTCAGAGTTCTACGTTCCTGATCCTAATCCATTGCATATTAATAAGCTCTTTGTAAATCATCCTGAAAGGTAGCCCCTTTTCTATAGTTCTACAAGTTTGGATACTTTTGTAGAACTTGAGTGATCTAAGTCCAATCAAATCTGAAATCCCTACCGTTTATACTCGACAGGTTTCGACAGTACGGGTTGTGGGAGAGGTACGCTGAGTTATACCCGGACGAGGATTTAGTATACACCGTTGGCACAAGTGATTATAGTAAAGATTGGTTCTTTGCTCAGGTCCCTAGGTAATATTTCTTTTGCTATTCGTTACCCATAACCAAAAACAGTCTCCAACGATCGTCATCTTCGATCCTCACAACTTCTTTGTTTCTGTGGCTATGTTCGTTATATGATCTTTGACATGTCTTGTATCTGTCATCAAACTATTCCATGTATTACAGGAAGACGAACGATAATTCACATCAAGGAACTACCTGGAAAATCGCATTCAAACTCGATCGAGTAGATCGCAAGAATAGGTATATGCTACGAGTCGCAATTGCATCTGCAACTCTTGCTGAATTGCAGGTAAGATGCCTACATCATTGACAATAACTGAAATGCTCAACATTTAACCAAAACACGTTTTTCTTTTTTTCTCTCTTTTTGATTTCCCTCTCTAGATTCGGGTTAATGATCCGAGTTCAAAACGACCTTTGTTTACGAGCGGGTTGATAGGGAGAGACAACTCAATTGCAAGACATGGAATTCATGGAATTTATTGGCTTTACAGCGTGGGCATAGCAGGCTTACACCTTGTTGAAGGAGATAACGCAATCTTCTTTACTCAGCCACGCTGCACCAGCCCTTTCCAAGGTATCATGTATGATTATATCCGTCTGGAAGCTCCTTCAACAAACTGACTTGTCTTTACTGACCTTTTTTATATTGCACTTCTTTTGGCTTTAAGTTAAACTCCCTATTGCCTATATCTTGAGAAAATTTGTTAAAAGAAATTTTGGTTTGATTTTCTTAGTTTAATTTGTTCATTGGTTAACTTGAAGTTAGCCGTATGTCTTAACCAGTTGATCTATAGATTCAGAAAACCGTCCAGCATAGAAATTTTTAAATGATGCTAACGTGACTGACAATTAATGAGAATCGTATTCATACCGGTGCAGCATAGAAATTCTCCCAAAGGGAGAGTAACTCATCGACAAGGAAAGAATTTTCAATATATAGTAAAAAATTATTGGGCAAGACCGTAAGTTTAGGATATATTCGCTCTTATCCAAAGTTGAATATTGTTATTATATGGTAATTTTTATAGGCTAAAAAGCCAAACATTTTAAATTTTGGAAATAAATAATTATAAAACAAATGGAGTCTTGATAAACTTGATTTTGAAGCACTTTATGTGTTGTGAGGGTGTCATGCATGAGCCATCACGCCGCTAACACTCCTCTTCTAACTCCAATTTTTCACATAATCTTCAGTTTCTTTACTCTCATATGAAGCAACCACCCTTCCAAGATATCAATAGCTTGCAAGATATCGTAAACTAAAGCTCGTGTATGACTCGGATCATGTTCGGGTGGAGCTAGAAATTTTCATAAGGGACAAAATTTCATATTTCGAGATACTTTAGAAATAAAACTTTATTTTTTTTTCCGAATTTTTTTAAATATTTTTAGGTGAATGGGTATTTTTTTTAATTGTATTTAATAATCTTTTAAAATTTGTTCTTAATTGTTTTAGAATAATTGAAGTAGTTTTTCCTTCTAAATTAAAGCTATAAACATAATTCTATACAACAGTTCTTAATGATTAAAAAAAAAAAAAAAAACCTAAAATAGTCGACTTTCACTATAGTATGTTTAATGTCAAATGTTAATAAATTTATGACTTTTATATTTTATAGTCAGTTGAAAATGATTAAACTCGATCTTTAACAATTTAATTTTTGGAGGCTAAATTTGTAATTTAACCAATAATAAAAATCTAACGGATTGAGATAGGTCACTAATATTCATCGTAGCAATAATTTAAATGTATGAATAATATGTCCTCACACCCAAAGTTAATATCATTCATTACGTTATCAAGTCTGTATTATTATGCTATTTAGCATTCAAAATCACAATTAATTATAAAAAGGATCAAAATGAAAATTAAGGAATCCAACAGCTAATTTCTGGCCAATTTTAAAATTTTAAAATTTTCACAATTAATTTACTTCATTCCTAGGCTGAAATAGGTAGATTCCACATCAACGGCTCAAATACATTCCATTTTAGTTATTTAATTCTCATTTTATCTTATTTTTTATATTTTTAAACATCCAAATTAATTCTTTCCATTTTCAATAAATCTTAAAATAATAACAATAGTTTTAATTTAAGAAAATACAACATAAATTTGTTTCCAAAATTTACCAAATAGTTTTTTTTTTTGTTGTTAATTTCAACTAATTTTAAAATTTGTTAAAAAAAAAAAAAAAAAACAAATTCTAAATATTGGTTTTTAACCTTATATATAATGAAACCAAATGTGGCGACAAAGCAAGGAGTTCACGAGAGGCTTTGCCTTTTAGTTCAAGTAACCAAAGCCTAGCTATAAAGTTAAAAAAGGTTCCCTTCGAAGCCCTTTCTTCCTTCACGTACCCAATGTCAACAGATTTGAGGGAAATGAAAAAAAGTGCATTTTCAATTTTGTCCGACTCCCTCAAAATATTTTGGCTCTTTTCTTCCCTTTTCTTTTACGTTTACGGACCCTTCATCCCCCCGACGACAAAAGACCCCGCCTTCTCGACCACGCCCGACACCAATGGACACGGCCCCGATGGACACAACCCCGATGGACATAGCCCTGATGGACACAGCCCCAATGCATCAGTGTCTCTGTTGCAACTTCACATCCAAGAACAATATGTAACGCTCTGTCATCTTTTCTATGATTATTTTTGGTAGCGTTAGAATTACGTGTTTAAAGAATTTAACATGTTATTGTGGTATAACAGGTTGTGATGGAGAATGAAATAATTGCAGTGACGATATCGAATCCGATGGGATTTGTCACCGGAATACAATACCATGGGATTGAAAACTTGCTTGATGTGACCAATCCTGAAGATGATAGAGGGTAATTAACTCTATTTTCCTAAATTATTAAGGATTATTTTATTAGGTTAAAAAAATAAATTAAAAAAAAATATATTTTGTTTTCAAATTTATTAAGAATTATAAAAAATTATTATTTTAAAGAAAAAAAAAAAAAAAAAACTTTAATTTTTGGTTTTCTTCTATTAATACAGAGCTAAGCCTTGTGATTGTTTGGGCTGAATATACAGATATTGGGACGTTGTTTGGAACACCGCAGGAGCGAAAGGAACCAAAGGCATGTTTGATCGGTAAGTTTCCTAAGAACCAGCAACGTTTTCTCCCTTTTTTCGTTTCTTAGTGCGCCATTTTTCAGTTCAAATGCCGCTTGTTTCTACTTTGTTGTTTGTAAATCAAAATTTATCCAGGATTTTGGTGAAGATTATAGAAGTAATAAACAGAAACTCGAAAGTATTTTGAAAAATTTGAAGCAATTTCGTTTAATTTACAGAATTGAAGCAACAGATTTCAAGGTAATCGTACAAAATGACGAACAGATAGAACTCTCATTCAGCAGAACTTACAATTCATCCTCCGGAGACGACGTAGTTCCTTTGAATGTCGACAAAAGGTAACCAAACAGAACAAAAAAACTCTCAAAATTATGATGAAATGAACGATTAATGGAAAAATCTTCTTCATCTTCTTCTTCTTCGACAGGTTCGTGATACTTCGAAATTCATCAGGATTCTATTCGTACGCCATTTACGAACACTTGAAAGACTGGCCAGCGTTTAACATCGACAACACCAGAATCGCATTCAAGCCGCGAAAAGACAAGTAAAGAAATCGGTGTTTTGAATTTGATCTTCTTTTTGTTTCTTTTCGATTTGGAAGAAACTGAGATTGAATCGACTAAGGAAATGTTTAGGTTTCGATACATGGTAGTAGCAGATGAGAGACAGAGATTCATGCCTTTACCAGACGATCGGAAGCCACCCCGAGGAGTAGCCCTAGAGTATCCAGAGGCCGTCCTCCTTGTGGATCCTATAGAACCCGAGTTCAAGGGAGAGGTGCCTCTTTCAACTCTTTTTATAAGAAATTTTATTTTATATATATATATATTTTTTTTATTTATGCTTAAAATTTCTCAAATTTCTTTTGAATATTCAAAATATTAAAATTTTTTTGTTAGTTTTATTTAATATTTGAATCCAACACTCACTTTTTTCAACATAATATTTTTGTATGCGTTGCGTGAAATTATTAATTAACACTATTAATGCACTGATTTTAATTTTAATTTTTCTCCTTTTAGTGGAAAAGTAAGTTTGATTTTATTTTTAAAAAAATGATAAATTAGATTTTAATTTAGATTATATTATAATATATTGTCTTATTATCTTATATTTTTTTTAAAAAGCATATATTGTTTTTTAAGCCTTAATTTTTTTTGTGTGAATATTACAATTTTTTAAAAGAATATGCATAAAAATTATTAAAAAAATAAAACAAAATTATTTTTAATTTTGATACTTCTAGGGATAAGAAATTTGTTTTGTTTGACGAGGGGCGATGATGCAGGTGGATGACAAGTACCAATACGGGTGCGAAAGCAAAGACACTCGGGTTCACGGGTGGATATCCAACGACCCGCCCATTGGCATTTGGCAAATCACAGCCAGCGAGGAGTATCGCTCCGGTGGGCCCCTCAAACAAGTTCTCACCTCCCATGTGGGTCCCACCTCCCTTACGGTAAGTGCGCTCTCTCTGCTCCCACTTTTTTTATTTTTTTATTTTTATTTTCTTTAAACCATATTTTTATACTATTAACTTTTAAATTTATTCTATTTTCATACTTTAAAATAATATATATATTTTAAAGTAATGTATATTTTGAGTTTGAATTTTTAAAAAATAACTATTTTCATCCCTACATTTACTTTATTTTTAACAAATTAATAAAGTAATTTTGAATAAATGCTAAAATGACCATGATTTCAAATCAAATAAGTTAAATTATTATAAAATAAAAAATGATTAATTCTTTAATAAAAATGAGAATAAAGAAGATATTTAAAAAAAAATGGATCTATTGATAAATGAGGAGAGTATTCTTTGAATATAAACCTATGATAATTTCATAAATTAGCTGTGAAACATTCATCATCATTTGTTGCAATTACAAGTAATTTGATGATTATGATTATGATTATGATTATGAATTAACGTGTAGATTGGAATTGAATTTGTTAGGTTTTCCATAGCGCTCATTACGCAGGAGCGGCTATGGTGATACGGTTTGGAAGTAACGAGGCATGGAAGAAGGTGTACGGCCCTGTCTTTATACATATCAATTCCTTGCCTGAAAAAGAAGATCCACTCAGACTTTGGCAAAATGCTAAAGAACAGGTATATAGTTTCTACAAGGATGGATGCAAATTATGTTGATGATTTTGATTTTAATTTTAAATTTAAATGGAGTTTTCATTTTCAGATGGCTGCTGAAGTTCAAAGCTGGCCTTACAATTTCCCTGCGTCTAAGGATTTTATCAAAGCAGACCAACGAGGGACTGTCACTGGCACATTGATGATCCATGAGAGGTATTCCTCGATTATAAACTCATATCATTCCCTAAATGAGCCGATGTGAGACTTTCATCATCTAATACCTCCTCTCAAACAAAGTACGCCTCCCCTTAATCGAGGCTCGACTCCTTTTTCTTTTGGAGTCTTAATTGAGTCCTTTGTTCGACATTTGAGGATTCTATTGGCATGACTAAGTTTAGGACATAACTCTGATACCATGTTAGATGAACACGACTCTTCACAATGGTATGATATTGTCTACTTTGAGCATAAACTCTCATGGCTTTGCTCCAAAATGACTCATACCAATGGAGATAGTATTCCTTGATTATAAACCTATAATATTTCTTAAATTAGCCGACGTGGGACTCTCATCATCGAACAATATGTATTTACATTTTAGTTTCTAACGTTTCAGTCTCTAACTTCTAACACGTGTCTATTTTAGTTCTTGTTTACAAAATTACTTACTAAATTCCATTATTTTGAGCTTCTTAGATATGTGAGTAATGAATCCATACCTGCAAGTGGTGCATATGTGGGGCTGGCACTTCCCGGGGAACTTGGCTCCTGGCAAACAGAAAGCAAGGTACAGCAACATCACAGAATCTTCTACATTCAGCCAAACAGCTTTAACATTTAAAAAAAAGTAAAAAAAAATTAAATAATTACTATCAATATTTGTTTATAATTTATAAAGATAATTTAAGGTCGGCTTGGAATGACTTATTTTAAACGGACCCTAAGTTAGCCAAAATAGTCGTCCCTCGGCTTATATGATTTACTATGAGGGTACTTTTCAAGAACTCAGTTCTTAAAATGCTGCTTAGATGCAAAAGCCCCCTAAAACTATATTAATCTTCAGTCAATGGTTGATGAGTTTAGCTGAAGTTAACACATTTTGGAACTCAGGGCTACCAATTCTGGAGCAGAGCAGATGAGAATGGACATTTCACTTTGGAAAATGTTCTCAGTGGAAATTATAGTCTTAATGGATGGGTATATAATTTTATCAGCGAGTACCAATATGATGCTTTCATCACTGTAACCCCAGGTTTGTATCTCCAACTCCATTAATTTCATGCTTTCATTAAGTGTATAATTAGTAGTTTAATCTCGTTGAGTATTTAGGCAGCGATATCGATGTGGGTGAACTTGTTTTCGAGCCTCCAAGAGATGGTCCAACATTGTGGGAAATAGGCATTCCAGATCGTACTGCTGCAGAATTCTATGTACCAGATCCTAGTCCCAAGTTTATTAATAAACTTTTTGTCAATCATTCAGATAAGTAAGTTCTCCTTCTAGTTTTTCACTTTACTTTCTGTATGTACTTTTTTCCCTTTTAGCATAGCTCTAAATTAGCCTCCTCATAGTTATATTACGGTTAAATTACAAGTTTAATCCGTTAACATTGAAGTTTATGTCTTAATCTATTCATAATAATAAATCTCTAAACTTGGGATCGAACATGCATTAAACTTGTAATTTAACCATATATTTATATATATTTGAGGTTCGATGGGACAATTCTATTTCAATATTTCTTATTTTCTATGTTAATTTACTCTATGAATTATTATTTCAGGTTTAGGCAGTATGGGTTATGGGAAAGATACGCAGAATTATATCCTAAGGAGGACCTAGTTTATACGGTTGACCATAGTGACTACAAAAAAGATTGGTTCTTTGCACAAGTTAACAGGTCTCCTTCCTCAACTTTGTTCTTGCAGTTTTAGTTTTCCTTCGAGCTGTTTGAGGTGTTCGGCTTTAGCTTTGTCAGCACGGTCGGAGAAATAATAGAATCTTTTGCAATGACGTGTGGGTCCTTATTAGCTTCTATGTTTCTCGACTCTTTTCGTCTTTCTGCATTCCCCCGTAACTACACTATGTCTTTCAGTTTCTGTTTTGTTTAGTGTCATTTTATTGTTTGCTCTCTCACGCTAATACTTCATCCTTTTTAACGCTGTTATCCACTCCTATAAAATGCTAAACAAGTCGGGCCATCCTCTTTATCCTCATTGGACTCAAGGACATCGATAAGCTAAACCAATTAAGTAGGTTTCTTGACTTATGTCGTGCGGGCTAAGTAGCATGCTGGCTAACATAGAAACAAGCTAGCTCAAGCTGTATCAGTGATTTCAAATTTTTATGTAATTCTGCACCATAACCACTTCGAAAATGAAAGATTTTGGTTTACTATTTCATATTGCATTTTTCTTAGTTCTTGTTAGCATTTTATAGAACTATTGTTAACATGGAACTGAGTTGGTAGATACTTTGGCTATAACCCTTGTTTGCAATGCAGGAAGATAGACGACAACAACACATATGTAGGAACTACTTGGAAAATTGAGTTCAAAATTGACAGTCCAGATACACATGGAACATATAAGCTGCGTCTTGCATTGGCCACTGCACATGCTGCAGAATTACAAGTATGGAACTCTATCTTTATCTTTATGTTTGGCAGCTGATGGCCTCTCAGTTTGGGGTTAATTTATAAATTTAGTATCCGGTTAGCTACTTAACCTACACGGTCAACTCAATAAAAAATACCATCTTATTAATACATGATAGCTAACTGGGACCTATTCAATATGTTACTGGCTTCTTATCGTAGAGACTATTTGTGAGGTATTATCAACTCATAGAGACTACCTTCTAACTCTCTTGAACAGTAAGGATCAGAACTTTAATGTAAATCGTTACAAATTTGGTCCAAATTTTGAATCATGGTTTTAGGAGTTTGAATTTGTCTCTATAATTTGATAAAACTTTCCTAAATAGTTCGGGTAGGAACTATGGATGTGGTGTCTCCATTTTTCGCTTGAAACTAAAATATATTGTTACTTGAAGGTTCGAGTGAATGATGCACAAACAGTTACCCCGTTATTCACAACTGGAGTAATTGGAAAGGACAACACTATAGCTAGACATGGAATTCACGGTCTGTACCGGTTTTACAGTGTCGATATTCCGGGCAGTGAGCTTGTGGCGGGCAACAATACAATTTTTCTTACACAAACAAATGACCACGGTCCTTTTGTTGGGATTATGTATGATTATATTCGTTTGGAAGGACCCTTAACTTCCTAAATGTAAATAGTTCAATTGAATGTTTTGCAGAGTGATTATCCAATGAAATCAACTCCATTGCCTTTATTTGGTGGAAATTGAGGAAATTAAGTGCCCAAATTCAATGTTCATCTTATATAAAATTTACTTATTCTGGGTACTTAAGAATCTCTTCTAAGAGCCAAATCAAATATATTTCAAAAGATAAAGAGATCAATCACAATCTCGAAAGTCAATAGCTCTTGAACACTTGAAAGCTTATTGAGTTAAAAGAACAAAAAGACTTAGAAAGGACGTTTTCTCCTTATTTCTAAAAATTCAGTCATTGATGCACAATTGAATTTGAATTATTATCAAGAACAGGGATGAAGGCACCATTGAAAATATTGAGATCTTCAAATGTATCAACAAAGTCGGATGAATAAATTCCTTTTAGTAAAACAGAGGAAGATGAGCATTTCTCATGTCTTAGATTATTTGAATGAATTTTTTATTATCTACTTCTACCAAACACAAAATTATTATTCTAACAACTAACTACATACTTGAGACATCAGAATAATAAATCTTTGAACATGAAAATTTGAAGTAACAAACATTTATTCAATGCAATTCGTAAATATAAGAATAACAAGAGAAGTACTGCAATGCGATCTAGAACTCGGACGCAGAAATGTTGCGACGTTTGAGGATCTAATAAGAATTCAGAACAACATTGAGAAATTCCAAATCTAAAAACAACACAAATGAATCCTACATATGTATAACTTATTACAGAAGGCATTCCTGCCAAACATAAATTTCTAAAATAAAACAAACGTCCGCATACGACAATCTTAACTAGATAATAAGAACAATAAACATGATGTAGGAACACATTTCCAAAAATGAGAAACTTACCGTTTTAACGTGAACGATTCGAGCGAAGGTCAGTGAGGGGAAGAACATGGATGCGAGAGCAAAAATGAGGATTCCATGAGTTAATCGATGAGCAAAAGTGAGAGCGGGAAGGAGATCGGATATGATTCTGGTAAAGATAAGGAATCGATCTGATACATTTTTTCTTTCGTTTGAAGGTTGAGCGAAAAAGGGAGACTCGAATGGCGGGAAAGGTCGCTTTGGAAAGTCGATCAAATCTGACTTTTTGACTTGCTACTTAAACCTTTTATTTTTGGGCCGGGCTGAAAGAAGGTTTTATTGGGCTCACGAACAAATTGGGCCATCGGAACATAACTTTAGGGCCCATTTTACTTTTTGAGCCCACAATGAGAAACAAAGGCGCATCGTCAGGGGCAAATTCGTCATTTTGATGAGTTTCCATTCCGTGGCTTCGCTGCTATATATACCCTCATCTACAAAATCTAGGGTATAAAAAGCCCCAAATTTCTTCGCTCGCGAAAAGCATTTGGAGCTAACGTTAACCCAGTTAGAATCAAAGAAACCAGAAGCATCACAAACTCACTTTCAATCCGTAGCTACAATTCGTTGCTCTTGTACTCTTTCTCTTTATTATTATTTTCTCATTCCTTTTCGAATTGATTTCTCGCTTTAATTTCGAAGATTTTGCCTGCTTTCTCGAATTTTGACGCTATGTTTCAAATTTTCATTTAGTTTTGTCAATTACGGATGTGCTCTGTTGAACTAAATTTGATATCTTAGCCAAAGAACTTCCATATGTTGCAGATCTTGTTTTTCGAAGAAGAATGGCAACGTTTGAACTCTACCGCAGATCGACGATCGGAATGTGTTTGACTGAAACTTTGGACGAAATGGTCCAGAACGGTACTCTTAGTCCGGAGCTTGCTATTCAGGTTCTTGTGCAGTTCGATAAGGTATAGTTAAAGCTGGTTCAGAGATGTTTTTATGTGTATATTTTGGATTCGTGTTCGAAATTGAGGTCTTGTTTGATTTAATTTCGTAGCGCTTTTGGTTTTTTGCAGTCCATGACCGAGGCTCTGGAATCACAGGTGAAAAGCAAGGTGACTATCAAGGTATGTTTGTTCGGCTTATGAATTTGATTGCATCTTTGAATGCCAGAGATTTATGCTGCGAAGTAAAGACATTATAAACTTGAAACGTGTTTTTACTTATAAGAGGAATTAGTTGTGTTTGCCTGTTCTGAGATACTTATGTTTGTGCTCTATTGCACGTCAAGCCTTAACATGAATGTATAGTACAATTTTTTCCCCATGATCTTTTGGTTGCCCGAAGTGAATGAAGAACCATGATAAAGAAAACATATTACCTCGCCTTTCTGAATGAGTTGCAGTCGAGGCGGAAATGGCACTAGGGTACGGCATAGAAACATTTGCATTCGAAAGTTGGAAGTTTAGATTGTGGAACATTTGATCTAATTCTAAATGGATTAGATTACTTAATTGATTCTTCAAGCGTTTTCCAGCATAAAATATTGCAGCTTGAATAAGTTCATCTGGAATAAACTTGGTAATTATTTGTACATTTGAATCTGGGGATAAAGTAATCGATGCAATTAGAGATTTAAGCCGGTGCATCAATTACTTCTACAATTAGTCTTTCCTTCAAGTTATATATTCGATCCAATGGCTGATGGATTTTCTCATGATACTCTTGAAAGTTCGTCGTGATTGTATGAGAACTATGGATGAGATCACAATCACGTCAATATTTGAGGAGTTATATAATTAACACTTTGGGTGATTTCTGAGCCTCTTTGTCCTATTGTATTGCAACAGGGACATCTGCATACCTATCGATTCTGCGACAACGTTTGGACGTTCATTTTGCAGGATGCAACGTTCAAGAACGAGGATTCCCAGGAGACTGTGGGAAGAATTAAAATAGTAGCATGCGACTCAAAGTTACTCACACAATAAGCTGTTCCAGATACCACTTTATTAGATGAAGTTTCCATAATTATTTGCTGATGATTGAGGGAAATAGTCACGATGAGAGGAGATGGCCACCAAGGCTGTGCTTCATGTTGCAAGTTTGGAAAAGATTCAAATGTGATTCTGTAAAGCTACTTTCACGCACATTAACATTACCTTTGATCTTAATTGGCTTCCAAAGCCAGATTCATGACAATTATACAACCCTTCTAGTTGAATGATAATAAAACACGAGATATCTGTTTTCACATTATGCTTTTAATCTCAATTTCTAGTTTCTTCGATACTCATAAACCCGTTCGGTTGATCGAAACTGTTTCTTTGATTAGTTATTGCAATTCTTCAACATTTATATTAAGGATCAACCTATATTCTCTTAGAATTAAAGAACATTTTGAGTAAACAAAAGATGCATCTAATCGACTCAGGTACCTCGAGGGGTCAACAAACTAATATTGGTTTCCGGGCTAATAACATATATGAAAAGAAGGGTAAAAACAATATAAATTTTTACTTCGACATACAATTTTATCCAGAAGTACCACTTCCCATCATCCTGATGCTGCCCGGGGTTTCAATGCCTGCCCTGCAGAAAGCAAAGGTATGTTGTTTGATTCTATGTAAAATCCAAGAGCTCCAAAGTTTAGGCTAAAATCTACAATGCATTTACAAAAACAAATGGAAAAAGAAAGGAAAGAAATACAAACCTTGCGCTTCTTATATTTTCTCATTCCGCCTCTACTACTACCAAAACTGGTCGGTTGCTCGTCATCAGCACCTCCCAAGGGCATCGATTTTACTTCGTCAAAGAAACTATCGGTTACGCCACCCATCCTAGAGAATAAAATGAAGTGTGTCAAAACCGAACTTAAGGAAACAATCATTAGATGTTTTAGAAGTACGGTGATTGAATCGAAGTTTTCGTACCCATATCTCGACTTCTTTAGGTATTTTTCTCGCTTTTTCTCCATCTTTGTAAGCGGAGCACGAGTGAATAGCTCCTCTTCTCTTCGATCACGTTCGTCCATTTTAGCTACATATCTAGCAACTTCTCTATTTTCGAGTCCAATGCTTTCTTTAATCTGTAGTTACCATGAACAACAAGTTTTAAGTACTCTATATGTTGGATGTTTAGAAAAAAAAAAACCCATATTATATAATAGTACTTCCATAACAAACCTCTTCAGGTTTCCCAGCCATGTCATCCATTAGCTCCCTCATATAATCACTCTGTCGAGCTCTTCGGAGCGTCTCTAAATCCTTCCTCGAGGAATTTCTCTCCTTCCTAGAGCTCTTATCTTCATCCATAGTAGTAGGGGCAAACCTTGGTGGACGATATATACCATCTCCATCCTATTTGAATGTTCAGTTCAGAAAGCAAAAGCCATTGTTGAGTTTTTCACATAACAAATTGGAACAAAAGAGTTATTAAACTTGATCCTTGACTTAATGCCTCACCTCAGCAATCCCTTCTGATTTACTGACAAGCATGTCAGGGTTTGGACGATATTTTAACCGATCATCCGTAGCCTGAGGTGTAGCTGATTCCTTTTCATCCACGATTGCATCCTCTTTTGCAACAACAGAAACTCTTGTCAGCTTCTGGATCTGATACTCAAGCTTCTTATCGATAGGTCGAATCTGCGTCAACCAAAAGGCAGGCCTTATGAATATGTTCCATCCATGTAGGTAAGCAAGCAGAAAAAAGTAGGGGAAAAGGAACGAACCTTCTCGAGAAATAACCTTATCTCTACAAGACTCCTGACAACAGGATGGCCCTCAATTGAGAACCCCTTGGCTTTGCGAAGCAAATAGTATACAAGTGAAGAGCAATAGTTAAGAAGTAATAAATATTTGGCGTCAAGATAGCTTATCCCATCTGATGTAGGAAGCTCGTTTGATTTTACCTGACATACAAAACACAGATAAAGCCATCAATCAAAAGCTGGAATTTTTTGTAGCTAAAAGAAGCAAAGACTAAAAATAATAAGATACTTCGGCCCAAATTCTGTGACAAAGGGTAAAGACATTTTTCGCACGTTTTTGCTCATATATTCTTGATAAAGATGTGGGCTTATTGTCATCCACCGGTTTTTATGATGATTACGGTCGAGATATCCAGCATTGGTTAAATAAAATCGTAGGTTCAAATTTCTGCAATAGAAGTGACTCATCCCATAGGATCAGTTAAGGATATCCAAAAAAGTTAGTTCTACAAGATCAGGCAGTGTTTTTCAAGCAGTACTCTTAAAACAACAGGACTTCTTGCTTGAACAAAGGCAAGATACGCACAAAAGGCAATCACTTAAAGCAAACTATAGTTTGTCAAATCAGATACTATAATTAGAACATACTAAATAGGATAAAGAACATAAATATACACTTTCGAATGTCAAAAAAGCACTAGATAAGATTTTCTGCAGAGAAATTGTCATGGTTAACCAAAAAAATAAAATTTTGAATTCGGAGACACGTTGAGATTCTGGCCACAAGAATCTCCTCAGTATTTTGAAAACTTGCAATTGATACAGTAATAAACACAAAGTTAAATTTTTTAGAACAATAATATTTTGCAGATTATAATACAAAGAACACACATAATCAGATATAACTCTCCATAGCTATATAACATGCTAAAGATGGACATAACTCGCAAGTCAAGTGTACCAAAACAGGAGAAAGTGCATTATTAATATATTTTTCATTAGGTAAGGACATCACTTTGGAAACACAGTGAGCTAGTCAATCAAAGTTTCGTCACGATATCATGGGAGTGCAAAATTCGAATTAGATCGAGATAGTAAAATGTGAAATGAGGCGCTTATCATGACAACTACTGAGAGATTGAACTAAAAAAACAAAATGTAGACTCTGGAGACTTCCAATCCTCATTCATTATCAAGCTTTCAGACTATAACTTTCACAGACTTGAAGATTGAATTGCATGAAAACTTCAGATAATAGAACCCCATCCACTCCAAAGAGACAATAGCACGTGAAAATAAACATCGATGCTGATTCTTTGCACATATTTCTTCCTGGATATTAGCTGTGCCAGCATGATAATCTACCTTTCTTCCTACCTAAATTGACATATCTAAAATGAAAAAAAATTATGATTTATACAAGAGTGTTCTCTTTGCTATCTGGGATGAGCAGATACTGAGAATGTTCTAACCTTGGCAGTTAAAGCCTGGACTTTATTTGTGACTGTGTCCAATCCATCCTTCATTTCCTTCAACAATGCAGTTAGTTGAGAAGCTTCTCTGAGAGAATTCATTCATAGTAACTCAGATAAATATAATCATGGAAAAAAGGCAATATAAATATGTCACTCCAAAAGATCCATTGTCATGGAACAAATTGGAGTAGTCACAACATTTTAGTCTTATGACAAGCATTGGAACTATTCTAAGATAAAATTAACAATTTATACCAAAAAAAAAAAGGATTCCGTTACCTGTTTGTTCTATCATCGCAACGCATGTTGTTGTGTTCCTCCATCGCAGTAACTGAAACGCTAAATTTCTAGACTGCACTCTGTTTTCAGGCTACAATATCTTAGAGATAACTGTTTGAGCTTCGAGCAACTCACACTCCGCAAATAAGCAACCTAACACAATGGTGTTTTTCATCAGAAAAGAAGTTCATTTATGAAAGAGTAATCTCAAGCTTAAGAAAGAATAACATTGCCAAGAGAAACGCAATCCACAAACTGAGATAAATAGGCATATAAGATGTAAAAACAAGTAATTCCATATCACGAGGATTTCATAAACCTTCCATAATAAGTCTGAAGCACAAAATGTACTTCAATATTGAAATATCGGATGACTGTGTATTTGCAAAAAATAAAGAAATCTCAATCAACTGTATCGGAGAATTCATATATATCAAAGAAACCAATAAGCCAAACGAAACGAGGATCAGAAACAGAGATGAATATTTTCGCCGTCGATGAGAGTAACAGTGAGATTACTACGACTGCAACGGAGCGAGAGAAGAGAGATAGGGAATGCAAAGAACCTGAGAGAGCGATTCGGTGTCGCCGTTGCCGTCGGTGAGAACAATAATGATATTGCTGTGCTCTTCGGGGCAACTGCTTGCTTCGAAGCGCTGGCGGCAAAGGTCTCTATAGAAAATCCGGTCAAATCTTTGCACTAGGGTTTTATTTTTAAAGATGAAAAAGAAAAGATACTACTATTGTCTATAATCTTAGTAAAAAATTACTTAAATATTGTCTAATAGATTTTATTTTTAAATTTTAAAAATATTTTAATAGATATTTCAAATTTCAATTTTATATCTCATTAGCTTTTATTAATTAAAAATTTAAAATCCAATTATTTATTATATACAAATTTAAATTTAATGCACGATAGAAACTTAAACTTTTGAATGTATTTAGTAAATCTATGAATAATTAGGGATTGGTCAGGCATGCATGTTGTTGTGTACGTGAAGACATGCCTCGTGTGTCAACAAGACAAAGTCGAGCGGGATAGACTCTTGAGGCTCTTCGAGTTGTATCCTGTACCACAAAAACCATGGGAAAGTGTCTCCATAGATTTTATCGCGGCTCTGCCAAAAAAGGGAGTATGGGTCTTGATCGTGCTGGACCAACTCACAAACAAAAAGAAAGATGCAAATTTCTAGCAACGAGACCCGTCCATATTCTTTAAATGGGCAAGACTCGCTCAGATCTATTGTTAGGGACCCAACCTTCATTAGCTATTTCTAGCTGGAGCTCTGATTCAAGCATGTCTTGGTTTCAAAATCGGTGAGTTCAAACACAAACCGAGATGTTGAGAGAAGCAACCAAAATAACGGGTATATTTGGGTGTATAAGAAGCTATGTACTTCTCAAGGCAAATAAGAATCAACCGCTTGAGCGTTAAAATATAAAGCATCCAAAACTACGATATCCAATTCTTTTTTACTGTCGACCTGTAGCAAAAATTTCAAATTTATGCCAAATTGCAACAAATCTCCTGAATTCCTAAAAATCCATCGTTGAAACGAACATAGTAATCAACCATTTTTCATATTTTTAAACAATAAGCAATACAACCCGAACACATTCATTTTCAATCCCTGAGCTCACAAGTTACGAATCTCCAACATATACAAAATGCAAGAAAATGAAAGAAAAGGAAACGAAATCTAGAGCCATATTAGAAGTTGAAACTAAATTTAGAACGGTTGACAGATACAACTTAACTTATCTTATCTCGAGGACGTTTCAATAAACGA